AGGTAAGTGGGGCACCTCACAAGGACAGAGATGCTCTCAGGCATGGGCATGGTGTGTGAGCAGGTGCCTCCCCCGCCACCCGGGCATCCCCAGGGAGCAGTTACTGCCCACCATGGCTGCGCTGTACTGGGGGCCTGGGCTCAAATTGCACAGACACAGTCCCATCGATATGCTGCTGCATGAAAGAAGGCCTTTTCTGGGGTCACAGCCACATTTTACATTGTCGTGACCTTGTTTACAGACTCAGGGAGCTGAGGTCCCAGTGAAGCATGCACCCCTGGGGGAGGGCCAGGCACTGGTGCTCCTTCTAGGAGTGTGGCAGGGGCTGGCCTGAGCCCTCAGCACTGGGCCTGGCCCCCCAGACCTACTCGACAACTGCTTGTCGAAGGAATAAAGGAAGAAGTAAACAAAAAGAAAATATTTACTCATATTCCTGCTTCTGTAAAGGTAGGGTGAGTATTCAGATCAACGCTATTGAAAACAATAAAAAATAGCGGCTAAAACAATTAATGGCCCTAAAGGATGCTTAAGAGCTGAGAAGAGAGCAGGGAACCCAGGCCACATTTTGGAGGAAATCCTGACCTCGGGAGTCACCAAGGCCAAGTCTTGTCCTACAAGGCCACGTGTGCTGGGATCAGAGGCCTGCGGTCAGGCGGCCAGGCAGCTCAGCTCCAGGCCTGCCCGAGGTGGGCGATCTAATAGGAGACCCTCCCCACACTCAGCTGGGCCACCATTTTCAGAGTAAAAGGGACCTGGAGAGGGACAGCTCCCCATAACCCCATAGGGTAACATGGAAGGCTGTTGGGGTGCCGAGCAGAGCAGGAGAAGAGGAAAGGAAGGGAGACTGCTTATGTACAACCCAATACCTCCTGGGATCTGGTTCCTTGGTTTGGAGGTTTAGGGTCATGGTTTCATGGGACATCCCAGTTACCTGGCCTAATAATGTGTTTAGTGCTTCTGTTCCACCTCCTAGTTCACTTCATAGTGCCTGGTGTCTTAAATCTTGTAACTAGCCATCCAAGGTACAAAAGGTTGTTCTTCTGGAGTGACAGAGGAAGAAGAGTCAAGAATAGGAGGAGGATATGGAAAGTGTGGCTAACTGCCTCCATGAACAATTGCCAGGAAACCAGAAGAACTGGATGGTGCCCGGCTACCATTACTGAACATTTTGATCAAAGATTCTATAGCAGAATCCTGATCAAAAGGGGGAATATGTAGAACAGAATTTCAAATTCTCATGGAATCCAGGTTTTCTGGAGCCATGGAGGCTGGATGAACCCCTGAAACCATTGCCCTGAGATCATCTTTAAACCTTAAATCAAAAATATTCCCTGAAGACAATGGTCTCGGGGGACATCTAGCTCAATT